AAAAAAAAATTTCTTAATTGATTCATTCTTAATAAATTTAAAAGATTTAAATTAATTGATTGTTGTATTTAATATAAATAATTAAAGAATCAATTAACTCATAATTAATTCGATTATGATAACCTCGTAAAATATATTAAATTAATTGATTCATTCAATAATTTGGGAAAAAATTAAATTTTTTTAATTGGGTTTCATCCTCCTCTTCTCCGATGAAAAACTCAGAACAAAATTTGGGATTCTTAATAAGTCTAGCTAGCAAAAATCTCATCACCAGAAAACAATAAGAACAACCCACAAAATCAAAATCAAGAATCCCTAATGTTTCCTCATACAAATGGGAAAAACTTGACTTGTCTGCTGCGATTTCCAAAGAAGAAAAGGAAGGATTAGGTTGATCATCATTCACTGTGTTTGAAAACCCATGTCTCGGAGTCTTTATCGTGGCGACAACGGTGGCAAGACAACCAAAGATCGACAGTAAACGAGCCCCTTGTTTTAGAGACCTTGTCAGATAGGTCGGAGGTGTATTTCACGAGGGCCATCGCCAGATCCTCCTCCGAATCAAAGACGCTCACCATCTTCCCTTCACTTTTCTCTATCACCATCCTTGTGTCTGCGACCGTCGCCTTCGTTCTGCACCCAAACCCCTTGATTTCGTGTCGACAACAGAAGTCCCTTCGAAACCGCTGTACTTGCAAGGGTTTTCAATGCTGTCGGCCTTGAGACCAACGAAGCGTAGTACGAAATGAGATGGAATCTAGAAGAAGAAAGCAGGGTGCGGAGCGAGGTGGGTAAATGGAGAGAGCAAAATGGATTTGGAGTATTGAAAATGGAAATGGATTCTTGAGTTTGACTTTGTGGGTTGTAACTAAGCATTTAAAAATTAAAAAAAAAAACTAAATTGTGGAGACTTAACGTGACAGGTGGGCACTTCCGTCACGGAAGGGCCAATTTAGTTATGGGAAAATATACTTTAAGGACGATTTGGGTCCCTTTTGAAGTTAAAGGACGAACTAAGTTCAGAAATGAAAGTTTAGGGATCAAATTGGGTATTTAACCTTCTTCCATCCGATGGTTGCAAATTCTAAATTATTATATATCAGTTAAATTATATGACAATGCTCAATATTCATATAAAATATATATATGTGTTTTAAATATAAAAATAATTATTTTACATATTATTAATTAATTTTATATTGAATATAAACTCTAAATTAAAATTCACACATCGAATTTTCACAATACCTTAATAAGAGCATAAAATTTTAATCATTTAATTTTTAAAGAACTGAAAATAATTTTTAGAAAACAATAAGAACTTTTTCAAAAAAATAATTTCTGTATGCCGTCAT